AGATCGAACGGTTCGGTGTGGAGGCGGGCTCAGTTTTTTGCGAATATCTCTTAGAAACTGCGATAGCCAACGGACGTTCAGCAGTGAGTTGACGCAGCTAACCTGTATAACTCCTCTAGCATGATGAACATAGTAAATATTGTGTGAAAATATCGAAAATTGGCTATAAAGTCCCCAACGCAAAAAATATTTTTTTTTCGGAAAACATTCGAAGTGTCAGTGCAATGAACCAGTGAAAGCTTTTGACTGAAAAATCTGACGAAAAAATGTATAATCTATACCTATAGCTTAGAGGTCGTTTTTTAATTCTTTGGACAACCTCACTTCGGAATATTGTGGAAGCTAATGCTTTCCAATCACAGTGGTAGTCAGAAAATGGAATATTGTCAAAAAGTTAAAATTCACCTTTTTCCGAAAAATTGAAACTTTGAGCGCGTCTCCAAAGCGAATCGGTTGACCCAGGAATCTGAGATTTAGCAGTCTCATACCTCCATAGATTTCTTCAGAAAAACAGATTAGCCCGATACGAGACATGATCCATTTTGATGCAAAATATCGAGACTGGGATCTAAAGGCGTATCCGACCAATATAAAGGCCCAAGTAGAAATATTTACATAAAGAGGTAGGTTGGTACCTTGGCTTTTAAGAGAAAAATCAAATTTGAATATTTTTCGTTCCGGGAGGCATTTGAATTGTCAGTCCAGTAAATATTTACTTTCCAGGGACAGGAGAAGGGAGATAATAAAAAGTTGTCAAACCACTAAAATTAGCATTTTTTCCAAACTTTTTCAAATTTTGAGAGCGTCTTCAGACCGAACCAATAACCTAGAACCCTGAAACTTTACATAGCGTCATGTCTCCATAATACTCTCCAGAAAAGAAAATTGAGCCCGATCTGGATATGATCCGTCAAGTAAGGTTGTGGAACTTTGGTTTTAATGCATTTGCAATGTTTTTATCTAACCATCTTAAAGACCGCGCTTGTCATGGATCACAACAACAAATGTTTAGGTCTTAAATATCTTTGCAAAATTTGTTCTCATATAGATACGTCTTTCTAAAATAACAACATGTATGGTTGTTAACGTTAGACCCTATTTAGGTGTTAGGTTTCTGCTGTTTTTCATGTTTTTTGTTCGGTATGATACAGTTGTTAGGATAATGACATAATATCCAAGTCTAGTATTGTCTGGTATCATTTGTTAGTAATCTTGATCAAATTATATTAGATCTCACATTTTTTTCCAAAATGCTTATTCTGCATGCAACGTTTCCTCAAAGGTAGATGCGTATTTTGGGCTTAAATTTCAAGTTAGTCAAACAGGCCCATACAATTAAAATTTGCTGGTTTAGCATAGCTTTTCTGTACAATTTGGGGCTATTTAGGGTTTAGCCCCCTGAGAAAATATGTTACCATTTACTCGTTTTCGAGCCAGGAACGCTATCACACAAGTTATTATTGCCGATGGATAGCCCTTCCCTACTGAGAAAAATTCCGCCATATGAACGAAATTGTGATTACATCTCGCGTTGATGATGGTTAACGGTCCACATGGATTGCAGTGACTGACTAGAACACACATGGATTGGTCCGGACACCAAGGCACGTATTATTGACACGCGACGGTTGAAGATATTTTAGGTTTTGAGAATAAGTGTATGGGAAAATCCATAATGATCTATGAAATATGTCTAGTAGGTACGGAGAATTACCGTGGCCTGATGCGTATTAGTATACTTAGTGACATATAAATCCGAACACCCAGTTTAAATGGTTTTATTTTAATAAAATTTTGTATAAGTACTTAATGAAGCATAATAAGTAAATGATAAAAATTTCAAAATGATTGCACTGCTTTAAAGCCCTTTGACCTTTAATAATGTGTGGATGCACCCTGATGTGCTACGCATTCTCCAACGCGCCTAGGCATGCTTCTGATCAGGTGGTCAATGTCCTCCTGTGGTATCTCATTCCAGGCAACCACCAACTCCTCTCGAAGTGCTTCTAGAGTCTGAGGAGGACGTTGCAAATTGAGCAATCTCCTACCTGTCATATCCCACACGTGCTCAATTGGGGATAAGTCGGGAGATCTTGGTGGCCATGGTAACAATGTGACATCATTATGTTGAAAGAAGTCTATTGTGACTCTTGCAACATGTGGTCGGGCATTATCTTGTTGGAAAGTTGGATCTGCCAGGGTGTCAAGATAGGGTAAAAGATGGGGTTCTAGAACTTCGTGGATATAACGCTGCGCGTTCATGTTACCTCTGATGAAGATTAAAGGTGACCTGGAACCATAAGCTATAGCACCCCAAATCATAACTCCAACAGTGTGATGAACATGTCTTTCAACAAAAAACTGTGGATTCCTCCTTTCACCACGTCGCCTTCTGACCCTGGCACGACCATCGTGCATGCCTAAACAAAATCGAGACTCGTCACTAAAGACAATACTGTTCCATTCCTGATCCCAGAGTGACCGTTGTCTGCACCACTCAAGGCGATTACGTCGGTGTTCTCGAGTTAAAGGGAGGACCCAGTGTGGCCGGTATGAAAACAAGTCAAAACTTCTCATTCGTCGGTAAACACTTCGCATGCCAATAGGTCTTCCGTGTTCTGCAAACCATTCATTTGCAATGGACCTGGTAGTGGAGAAAGGCCAATAATCTTAAGCGGCGATGTTCACGGTCTGTTGTTCTACGGCGGCGTCCAGTGCCCCTTGCTCTTTGCGTACGGCCTTCTCGAAGCCATGCCTGACAACACCTAACCACAGTGTCTACACTTCTTTGCACTCTAACTGCAATTGCCCGAAAAGAAAGTCCAGCTTCCCGAAGTCCCACTATACGGCCCCTATCAAACTCACTAAGTTGACGAAATCGTACAGGTCTCCGTACTCTAGACATCGTAACGGATGGTAAAGGATGTCAAAAACCAAAATCCGCCAACGTTGATTCTTTACTGCGGCTGAAATATTCATTTTTAGAGCATTAGTGAATGGAAAAGAAAGCAGTATAAAAACCGGAATGTCCAACTGATAAGGCTGAAAATTTTTTCACTTGTTATTTACAGTAAGATAAATACATTCACCAACTTTTATTAAAATAAAACCATTTAAACTGGGTGTTCGGATTTATATGTCACTTAGTGTATATCCACGTCAAAAATTGAGATATAGTATACTTTTCCCCACCTCTTAAAACTCCCAATTCTTAGCCCCATCCAAAATATACTAACTATAACTATAAAGCATTTTTGTTCTTGGTATAGTGGTAAGCTTTTTTTATACCGAAGCAGCTGCGCAGGTAGAATTTTGTTAATCGGGTCTTGGACTGCCTAAGGATAGTAGAACTGTGAAAAGCTCCCTCTTGTAGATTGTTCCACAATCTCGAAACCCTTGAGACAAAGGAGAGGTCGTATCGGCCAGTTCTGGATGTACCACGTTCGACACGGTTAGCATGGGAATCCAAAGTGTGTAATTACTGTCAGCATGTATATTACTTGTGACTTGTGACATATTTGTATACGTAATTTCCAGAATGGATATGAAAAAGTGAATGCGCAACTAATTTCTAGCTTTGAATCTCAAGTAAGTGTATTTGGGACAAGAATCCAATGGAATTATCATCAACACATGTTATTAGCGCACAAATACTCACTATGCACCTATGCATTGCCGTTATCTCCAGTAATGCCATCTCTGAAGCAGCCAAACATTGATAACTGAAGCCTCATGACGTTTAGGCAACACGTACAACTACAAAACGAGCTTACAACGTGTCCATCGGCTAGTGCTAGATATAACGTCACTTTTTAAGATACGTAATACCCGTGCGTATTAGCGCTAGGACGCTTTTTGTTCGTCAAGGTAGAGTACTGTGTTTTGGAAGCATTAAACTGTACAAGAGGAAGTCGTCGCTAGTCTTCTTTTTCCAGCTCAGCGGCAGAGACAGGCTTGTCACTCTGAACTCCTGCATGTAGAGTGCTGTCATCAGCGAAGCTGTGGATTGGGCTGATCGTGTATGAAAGGAGGTCGTTGATATGTAAAAGAAACAGTGTCGAGGCCAAGACCGATCCCTGGGGACCACCCGAGTTGACGTTGTGGGATGAAGATGAGAACTCTTCAATTACGACGGATATCTTGCGGCCAGAGTTAAAGTCAGCCACTCATTTGCAAAGCTTTTCTGGGAGGCCACAGGATGGAAGTTTGCATAAGACGGGAGCGTGCCACAGCTGATCGAACGCTTCCGTGATATCAAGAACAACGACATGAGCCTCACCATAAGACTGGATGAATTTACTCCACAATTGCGTGTTATAAGCTAGGAGGTCCCTTGCGGATCGCTGGTGCCGGAAACCATTCTACCTGTCGCCAATCAAGCCGTGACGTTAGAGGTAGTCCAGAAGCTCGGGATCTAAATTTGATCTACAGGCTGATGGATAATAATTATTGTCATCTACGTTTGATAGGCTAAATCGGCACGGGTATTATGTAAAAAACCTATAAAACGTCTCAGAACAAAACATTGAAAATTTTAATATGCGACATGTGAGTTTTGATGTGTAGTTTTAGAAATAAGAAATAAGAAATATGATTAATAGGAGTCTTTTTCCAAACTACTTACTACTAACCGTATTTCTTGCTAAAACAATATAAATAAGTCGAGAATAGTCTTCCGGGATTTTCCCATTAGTATTACTAGTGAAGGTTGTTCGACATTTCAATCGTTTAAAACTCAAATACCATATTAAGCCCAAGAAAGTTCTGAAACATTCAAACTGTGAGATTTATAAGGTTTATAAATTTTGAAATAACCGATTCAGTTATCGAGGGCATACCCTGGTCCAAGAGTTGAAGTCGAAATACGCATTGCACCACGAGCTTCTCCAGCCGCACTGATATGTCGTTTAACTGTTTCCAACACCCTACCACAACGCCTGAAATATCGTCCAGAGAACTTCCGACACTCTTAGCCGCAAACCAGATCCTTTTTTCTTTCCCTAAACCTCACCAGAATTTCGCTGGTAGTTAAATGTCGCACAGTTACCGCGAAAGGACTCGCTGATTTCTATCCTGCTCGGTATTCTTTTGTTCAGGGGGCTATAGTAATCCATAGCCGCAGTTTCCAGTTCTTTATGGATTACAGCTAAAATGGTAACAAAAAATATAGTCGGAAGAAACTTGACCATTGTATTCTAGCGTATGCATTTGAAAAGTATAGACATTTTTCAAGAAATCTTTTTCGTACAAAGTTAAGGTTTTTGGATACAAATTGCAGTTTCATTATAATTCTTCTGTTCTGGGTTCTATTACGGAATTGTTCATTTTATATTATAGATATTGTATTGACTTGGTAGAAGTTATCAGCAGTAGTACACAGCAACTCATAAATTGTACTGTTGATAACACCACTGGCTTGATGATGCTGGAAGGGATTCGACCTACAACTTGGTTTCCTATCAACGGTTTGTCAGATCACACAAACCAGACAGCAGGTGGACCGGTAACATCATTGGTTATTCAAAAACTGTACTTATATTACACTCTAAAAAATGGCGATAAGAAGATTGACAGTATGCCTTCGTTGGAGGATTTAAAGAAAAGGGATGAGCTAAATAGTTTCAAAATGCGAAATCGAATCGTGATTAGGTAGGCTCCCGATGAATCTTCGACCTCTGAATGTCAAACTATGATATTTGTGTTTTGATGGCAGATGTAGCGAAAATATGAGTGACTTATTACGTCTAACAGGTGCATAGTATCATTGAGATCAGCAACTTCGTAATAATAGAGGGTCTTCCAACGACAGCAAATAAGCAACAATTTACAACCATTTTCAGCATAGAGCTTTCAACACACAACCATGTCTGAAAATGAGCAGGCAACTCTGAAACCTTGTAACGCTATGTACCAGCGATTTTATTTCCGCCACCTCTGAATCAATTTTCAAAATCTACGACCACCTAAACTTTGGTTCACATGTTTTCTGTTGCTTGACGATATCCTGGATCATCCAAGACCAGGACTGTCATTTATGTTGGTTTGTCAGTCCGTGTCTGTTGTATAACAATCCGTCATAAGTACTTAGTCAATCTACTTGACGAAATATGCAGACAACATAAATTCGGTTAGGAGAAAATGGTGGTACATTTAAAGATTATAAGCTTCAGAAAAATGTGTGTATGTAGATATAAAGAGGTACGTACTCCTGATATCCAAATATTGATAAAATATACAGGGTGTAAACGCTATGGTAGTCATTATTGAAATGGGTAATAGCCCCCCTATTCAAATTACATTAAGTTTTTCTAAGTTAAGCCAAAATGTAAGTAAATTTCATTAAATTGAATATTTAAAACACAGATAATAACAGCATGTCGGACATCATCACTCTTATCGAACCGGCAATCGATCGCAAACGGTGGTTAGTTATCGGGCATCGGTCGTGTTGTTTACAATGTTCTCGAATCAAGAGTTCGCCGACATGTTGTTAGTTTACGGTGAAGCTCGTCAGAATTCAAATCTTGCAGCTCCAATTTATCGCGATAGATTTCGCCAACGGGTACACCCAGATAGAAGGATATTTGTGCAAGTGTACCAAAGACTTCGAAATACAGGAAGTGTTCAGCCCACTAATATTCGCACTCGTGAAAGACAGGTTACTGTAGAGCAGGAGGACCAAATTCTAAATATCGTGGAAATCAATGCAGATATCAGCACTCATGAATTAGGCCGCCGCGTAGGACTAACGCATACCACAGTCCATAGAATCCTACGGGAAAATTTGCTTTATCCCTACCAGTTACAACGAGTGCAGGTTTTATTACCAGAAGACTATCCCCGCAGACTAACATTCTGTCAGTGGTTTTTGCACAAAAACATTGAATATTCGGATTTTTTTAAAAACATTCTAGCGACGGACGAATGTACTTTTACGCGAGACGGGATATTAAATTTCCATAATACTCACACGTGGGCCCATACCATTCGTAATGGTCATTTCCAAAAACGTTTCAAAATACATATTTGGGCGGGTATTCTTGACGATCAGGTAATTGGCCTTTTCGAGTTACCCCCAAAGTTATCAGGAGAAGGATACCTTAGCTTTCTAGTCAATAACCTACCAGAACTTTTGGAACCGACCTTAGACAACATGCCATTACAACGAAGACAGAATTTGTGATTTCTTCATGACGGGGCACCACCACACAGTTTTAGAGGCGTCATTCAGTATTGGAATGAACATTATCCAAATCGGTGGATCGGTCGAAATGCTCCTGATCCTCGAAAATGGCCAGCAAGATCTCCTGATCTCAATCCGATCGATTTCTGGTATTGGGGAGAACTTAAAGGGATGGTTTATGGAGCTGGTCCAATAACAACTGAAGCACTACTTTGCGAAAAAAAATTTAATGCGGCTGAAATAATAAATGGACAACTTCGAGGACCTAGAGTAAGAAGAAACTGGGTTCGCCTTAATGAAGTTTGTGTGGCAAGTGGAGGACGACATTTTGAACACCTTCTTTAAATACAAAAAAGTGCAGTGTGGGTTTTAAAAGGAAAAACAATGTATGACTCAAAATTGTGTTCCCTATTTATAAGTGGATTTTTTTAATACGTTTAATAAACTTGCACACACCAGGTGAAGCGCTGTGACAGTTATTGGTAAGTCCGTTTTTTTGAATTGTTTGCATTTTACGGGTATATTATCAAATAATGAAATAAAACGTAAGAGCCAAAAATAACAAACTCCATCTTTTCTACACTGCGTTCCGTGGTAATTTGGGTCTGGGATTGCGGCGTTGTCAGATTTTATTTTACTTTAAAGTCGCTTTTCTGTAAAACAATGCCGTTTTGACCCCCATGTTATATGAAACCTTTTGCTTCTTTTAACCCCCCTCTATCACACAGTTAAATAATGAATATCATAAAGTTTACACCCTGTATAAATATTCTCCTGTAGCGGTGTGACAGTGATGACACCACCGCACATCAGTAGGAGTTTGTTACCCATTCCATCAAGACGATACATTTATAATCCCCTACCTCCTATAGCCCCAACCTCCAAGCTTCAACCCCTACAAAAAAATTTCTGAAAATGATCAGGAGCCCCTGAAACGTCAAAAAAGAAGTTTATGCGTGTTTTTTTTTGTTATTGGCATTTTTATCCGCCTCTACTGAACCGATTTTCGAAAACTGTGAATATTTCTCGTCCTTGGCAAAATAGTAATATATGTGAAAATGTCATCAAAATCCGGACAGTATTTCTCAAGTTATAGGCGGTTACAAAATTAGCCGACAGATCGTCAGACAGACAGACAGACCGATCGAAATGAGTGACATGCTTTTTCGTGATGTACATGTCATACACGTTCGCTGCTCATCATTTTTTTAAAGAACACCGGTGGTACTGAGACTGACAAAACTACTGTTTGTAAATGTTTTTGTTATTACGTGTTACTAGTTCAATATAATTCTTGTTTATGTAGTTTTTTCAAGGTTTCTTGCAAAAAAAACATGTCGTACATGTGGCGGCTTGAGCACTCGGCCATGATTTTAACTGCCCAGTGCTTACCGACGCCTATTTGGCCCTAAGGACTGTTTATTTATTAAGTTTTGATGATATGATTATAAAATCGTCACAAAAATAAATAACAAATAAAACATTATCCCTATGCATCTACAAAAGTTACAATTCATAAACGTAATAAAATAAAAAGATATAGTGCCATTGTTCAACTAGAATAATAAAAGAACATGTTTGAAAACTAAATAGGTACATATTTCATAAAAAGGGAACTAAGTATTAACAAATACATTGTTCAAAATATGTATCTGATTTTACAGATTATTATGATATTCCTTAAAACCAAGGATCTAAACACAGTCCGGGTAGTTCCGGGCAACTCTTACAACAAAAGCTTACATCTTTACGAACTCCACGTTTTGAATACCATCGACATTTTTTGCGCAGTCTTCTATCACTTGTGCCTTTTTCTAGTTTGCATGGACCATGTTGAAACCCTGGGTTTTCTGTGGATGGACCTGGCTTCTCTTTGGCTTTAATTTCTGATACCATTGCATGAACTACTGATTCACGGTACTCTAGGAACAACATCTTTGGTTTAGAATATTTTTCGTATAACATATAGGAATTATATAACATGGTCTCTATAATATGAATTCCTACTTTTTTGTACCATCGTATGGTTTTAAGATGGGAAGGATAGTTGGACTACAATTGATCTTGTAAGTCTATACCTGACATATATTTGTTGTATTGCATGGTTGGGGCTGGTTTAATTTTATTGGTGCCAAATCTAGACAAAGCTTCTTCCATTGTATTTTCATGCTCCGTAGTAATATAGAGTACCTCCCGTTTATCCTTCCATTTACCTACACACACACTTCCTCCATATCGATGAACGGATTCGCCAGGCTTTAGTTTCGCCTTACTTACATCTTCTGGAGTTTCTTTTCCTCCCGCCCGCAAAGTACCCGTGCAGTACGTATTTTTCTCCAACAGTGGTCTGGCAAGGTCACAGAATTGTTATAATTATCCATGTATAGGCTGTATCCCTTATTCCAGTAATTTCTCATAAAATGCAGGACCACATTAGCAGCATATGTCCTTTACCACCGAAATCATCAAGTACCCCAGAAAATAAAATTTAATGCAGTACTTGTGTTTTTAATTTTTTATGTACTGTCGAACGCAAGGCGACCGCGCCATAAAAGCATCGATTCATCTATTGAAACGTTCTTGCCTGGGGAATAAACCGATTCCATTTTATTGTTGAAAAAGTTGAGCAATGGCCGAACTTTGTATAGCCTGCCACTTGCCAAATTTCGAGAATTTTCAACAAAAAATAAATAATTAAGTATCGGTCTCTGCTCATATATTTTCTGATGGGAAAATTGAGAAAACGATTGGTACGCCAGTAGTCTCGCAATCTAGGTAATTGAAGAATTCCCATAAAAATTGTCAACCCCAAGAACATAGTCATTTCTTCTTTGTCTATAGGTTTCCATCGACTAATCCTAGAGTTGGGTCCAGACGATTCGTTTAGAAGTAAGTGTTCTGCGTAAATAGTCGTTTGTTGTACTAAAATTTCAAATAACTCGTCATCGACCAGGAGTAAAAAAAATCGATCGGTTCCCCTTGACCAGGTGTTGGTACATTTAATTGTTGATTTCCAGTAAACTCAATTTGCCTAAGATTTGGGGGTATTCCGTCCATACTAACTGTTGTTCATTTCCCACATCATCCAACAGCTTCATATCGCTTTGAGAGGCAGATGCGCCACTCCAGTGTCGCTGCCTGAGTCCGGAAATGGCTCTTCATCACTCGAGCTTGATAAGTCTGCTAATGCACGCAGTTCATCTTCAGTATGAACTTTGGGATTCTTAATTCTAAGCCGCTTCGGTGGCGAAGGGCCTGGAGTTGGACTCTCGGCCATTACAAAAAAAAAATTAAACGAAAACTCGAACGACGCAGCAAATATCTTGAATAAAACCCTTAAGAACGTGCTCCTACGAAATCATAATCCTAACTAACTAATCGATTGTCATGTAGGTATATGAGAATAAACACCAGGCCGCAACTTGTGCGTCGAGAGCAGCCAGATAATGATTGCTAGGACGCTACATGTGCGTCGTGAGCAGCGAACGTGATAACATACAAAAAACATGAAATCTCAATTTCGAAATTTTCCGCGATTACAATTCTTCCTCGCCGGTTTTGACAAAGGAAGTAAAAAAGAATTACGATATCGTAGGTACGTGTGACTATAGCTGCTCTTCCCGATAGTAACTCAGCTATCGGCTTGTTTACTCTTATCCCATTGCTGATAAAAACGACCCAAATAAATTGACCATGGTTTGAAAATAAGGGCGAAAAGTTCCCTGTTTTCATTTCTTGGTTTTGTGTGTGTAAAATAAGTGTTATAAGGTCTTTGGCGTTGCGAAATGGCATGCACCTCAAAATTGGGCTTTGGACAATTGTGAGATAATTATGATTTATCTCATTTTACTTTTTGCTTAATTGAGCGCTAAGTTCCAGTCTAAGATTTGATAACAGAATTGTATACCTTACAACAACATTGCAAAATGCAAAATATTGGAGGCAAACCAATTTAAAGTCCTTAGGAGAGCTACTTTCGCCTTATAAGTAGTAACTTTTCGATCCCATTTTTGTGTCACGATATTCTATGGAGGAAGCTCAGTACGCCCAAAAAGAACTATGAATATCTGATTAAGATACTTCCGAATCGTTTTATTGGATATGAAATTTCAAAATCATGCTCAACTAGGTATTTGCTTTGTGGGCAATGGCAGTTCGATTAGGCAAACGACTGCTCTAAAACTAGACATTTTTGGTGACAAAGGCTTCGTTCCAACAAAGCCGTGTACCGTACAGTGAACCGTCATGAGAGTGCGCAGTACGTTTTTAGTGTCACTTAAAACGTGCTGCGCACGCTCATTATGGTTCACTGTACGGTACACGGCTTTGCTGGAACGAAGCCTAAGAGTTGCCTTGTGAATATATATATATATATATGTCTGCGTCAAACGCTGAAATCAGTCATTCCCTGAAATGCCTAGTCAGTCCCCGTATTGCCGGCAAACATCGTAATAGTTTGATTATTACAACGTTTGACTAAGCATTTCAGGCATTCCCTGTAATGACTGAACAATTTCAGTCAAACACCGTAACAACCACATTAACTTCGTTACTGCATTTGCCTGGTTCAGTCATTCCTTGTACCAGTTTTGTGTTCATTTGCTCGAGTATACACATCGTCTTTTTTGTGTTTGTAAAGATGTCGCAGCAGTCAGAATTGTTTTACAAGAAACTAAGTGAATACTATGACAGTGTGAGTAAGAAAAAAAAAGAATACTAATGAGTTAAAGGAGGTAAGTTAATTTCTATAATTTTGGGAACCTAACCTAAATTATAACGTACATAGTCTTGCTCAACAGCAGCTTCCATCGTTGCCGGATTTCGTATATAAATACTTGGTTAAAAAAATATATTATTCATCCACTTTTCGCCATCATAGATCAACTTTTCTAAACTTCTTACAAATAAAAGCTATTCCTAAAAAAGTTTTATCACGTGAAGCTGTGTAGTCACTTTCATTAGAGGGAGACCAAGGACATTTTTAGTATTCCTGTAAACCAGCGAAAAAGCAGTGTTTATCCAATAGATGTGTTTGTTTAAAAAGAAAGTCCTTTGTAATTCAAAGTGCCATAGAAGTCTAACATGCACTAATAAATAATTAAATAATATAATATGTATATACTCGTACTATGTACCTTTATTCGTTTGAAACTACTCGCAGTTCAGAATTTTTTTAATGTGTATTTATTGTTTTATATTTATTTCTATGTATTTCACAGTAATGTAATAATAAAGACAAGGTTTTAATCTATTCTTCTTTCCTTTTAGATGAATTCATGCTTGATTATTTTACTTTCAATATTATTGATAAAGTAGTACCTTGTTATATTATGTACTTCATTGGAGCAAGACTGTATTGGTTACAGCGTTTGACTAAAATAGGCGAATACAGTAACGAAGCTAATGTGTTTGTTATGGTGCAATGACTGAAATTGTTCAGTCATTACAGGGAATGCTTAGTCAAACGTGGTAATAATCACACTGTTACGGTATTCGTCGTCAATACGGGGATTGACTAGGCATTTCAGGGAATGACGGATTTCAGCGTTTGACGCCGACATATTGACTTAGCTCTGTCTAATCTATTCGAATTCGCTGATGCTTGCAGAATCAACCACAAAAACACCGCAAAGGTCAGAAGTGATTCAGTACTGAATAAAATCGTCATTCAGTCCCTGATTCTATGCATTCCTAGTTTCGAATCTCCAATTATTATTTCAGCATTATGAACTGTTTAGATTTTGAAACTAAATAATATGTGTTTGCTCTCCGTCCCTGTCAAGAATCGGATGCGAGCCCATGTCGTGCTTGTTAGCAATTTTCAGTACGGTATAAGTTTTGGAAATCTTACAAACAATAGCAGTAGTAGTAGTAAGAAGCCAAGCAAGTAGGCGCCCTTTGTCCCTTTTTGCCGGCATCGAGAGTACCAATACTCTACTCCATATGTTAATTCACCAACCTTCCTGATCTTCTAATGAAGGTAAAGATGTTCAACTATTCTGCTGAGTACGAAACTTCACCATCAGACTCCATGACCCCGAATATCTCACTTGTCTCGTCCTCCTCAGAGTACATGGGGCAGGTTGGATCCCTCTTCACCCTTGAAAGTCATATGTGTCCGTCATTTGTCGAGCCCGCTATGAACCCCTTGGCCTGTCTGTAGTCTTCTCTGTCGACACGTTTTTCCTAGGTCCCTATACACCTATTCATTCAAGGCGGAGTTGACCTGGCGCCTGCTCATGCCCAGCCTAGGCTCAGAACCGATGCAGGTGCTTGTCAACTTCCTCATTACCAGACTCTCCCCTGTGTCCGGGACTCAAAGCAGGGTTATTTCTTTGGATCGGGCTAAACTCTGAAGGGCAGTAGAATATTCTTAAGCCGACTACTGCCGTCAAGTGTGCCTCAGTACTCATCAAGCGTTTATTCACCAACAAACACCGGCAAACTTTAAGCTCAGGATCCTCACATTATAAGCAGAGACACTAATATAAAGGATTGTTTACGATTTAACACTTGATGTTTATACCACGTTTAAATTAGGTTCCTCGTTGTTTTGTAAACATTTCGTCTCCTATAAGTAAGTTTTGATGTAACGTTCGAACTGATATAATTATCAGTCATCTTGTATATTCTACCAGTGTAATTTAGTAGGTGTTATTCGAGAATATTATGACCGTAAACAACATCATTTGTTAAGAGTGGAAAGAGCATCAATCAGTAATTGGTAACCATCTCTAAGTATTTCCATATACCACTGTAAACAATGCTGGGATTCAGATACGTTAGATTAGTCAAGTGCTACAAATCATTATATCCCTCTAGCCACTTGACAAAATATAACGAAAGCAGATGCATTCTTCACTGTCATCTATATAGATCATTATCATTGATATTTCATCATAGGCGGAGGTGTGCGTTGTGTGTGTGTACGTTGTTGCTTTTCATGTTAGAGAAATTTTACAATACGAATAACAACAAGACCCAAAACAAGACAGAAGTGCTGCAGATAATGACTTTTTGAAGCCATTGTGATCTTGCTTTTTGAAGACTTGATGGCGTTTTCTTGACTTTAAATTGACGTAAATTGTTCCTTAGATTGTTTTTTATACATCTCATACATAAGTCAGTTGTATACCTGCTTTTCATCCGTAATCATTGCTGGCACTATGCCAATATTAGAGTTATGTGCTTCGATGTCAGCATGAAAGTCGGTACTTTGACTTTACAGTGAGACAGTAAATAATGCTAAACTGTTGCATGTTATGGTTATAGGTTTTTCTAAGTACCTTACGTTTGATTCTCAACTGCAGGGCAACGTAGCCAGCTTAATTCTGAATACCATACTCT